TACCTCGATGTTCTGCCTCACCTTGGACACAGAGCAATGGAATTGCCATCTCTGGACTGAGTCCTTGGAACTCATGAGCCATGATATACTTTTCCTCCTCTAAGTTGTTCTCTCGTCAGGCATTTGTCACAGTGATGAAAAGCTGATTAACACACCAATTGGTGCCAAGAGTAGGGTTGTTGCTGTGACAAATGTGGCCATGTCGCTGAGAAGACATTGGGACAGGTCGGCAGGAAAAATTTGGAAATGTTTGGAGATGCAGGCAGAAGAAGATTTAGAATGTTGTAAGTAGAGCTTAATGGGTGATTCTACTGGGAATTCAGAAGATCACAAAACCAACATTAAAGTGGACAATGAAGACAGTGCCGTGTCAGAGGGAAATGAGGATTCTGTTGGAAACTGGACTAGAGGCCATTCAGGTCCTATTCTGAAAAAAGGACTTGCCTACATTTTTTCCAATTCCTGAGACTTTGTGTGAAGCGAAATGGAAAGTGATGGGCTAATTAATCTGATGGAAGAAATGCAAGAAAACACAGCATTCAGCCAGTGGCATGGATATTGCTAATAGCTTTTTGCCAGGTTTGTTTTGAGAATCAGGAGACAAAAACAGAGCATAAGAACTTGGAAAATTTGATGTTTCACCCAGAAAAATCTGTGTAAAACTGGTGCTAAGAAAGGTGTGGTTGTTGAATGGATGACAACCACTAAAGAGAAGCTAAGTGCTTTCCACAGACCCCATGGGAAAGATACCTCAAGGGCGTCTTAGGAATCAGAAAGACCACACTCATCGCAGGCTCAAGGTGGAGCAGTAAAAATCCCTTTAGGAGAGTTTGGGGGGACCCTTATGACAGTTGTTTCCTCAAGATGGGTCTCATCGTGCTCTGCTGTGCAGGCACTCAGAGGCTACTGACCTTCTAGCTCCAGGGGACCCAGCTACCATTTGAGCTGGAAGCAGAACTTTTTGTCATCGACATGGTGTTCCTTCTCCAGGAATGCAAGATGTAGGAGTTAGAAATTCATGGAGCCTTTCACCGAGAAACCAAAGGAAGGAAGGCCTGGGAGACCAGAAAAGTATAATCATATGCAACTCTTTCAGAATGTCCCTGAAATGACAATGTGTGAGGCTAAGAGGTGAAGCTGGATCTGGAAGCCCAGGAATGAAGAGATGCCAGTCTGCAGGAAAAGCTGTTGGTGTGGAGAGATCCAGGCTAAGAGAAAGACCTGTGGACAGACCATCTCTCCACCATGTGTCCCAGATGCTGGAGGTGGAGTTATGGGAAATGTTTACCCACCTGGGTTTAGGTCTTGGTTTGGCTCCATCCTTTTTATTTATTTATTTATTTATTTTTATGCTCCTATTCCTCCCTTTTGGAATGCTAATGTTTACTCTGTGCCATTATATACTGGATGCATATAACTTGCTTTTGTTTTTTACAAAGACCCACAACCAAGAATTTGCCTTGAATCTCAGAGAAAACTTTAGATTTGGATTTTTTTTTTTCTTTTTGTACCAGGTATTGAACTCAGGGACACTTAACCACTGAGCACATCTCCAGCTCTATTTTGTATTTTTGTTTAGTTGTTTCGCACCTTAATTTTGCCGAGGCTGGTCTTGAACTTGCAATCCTCCTGCCTCAGCCTCCTGATCCTTTGGGATTACAGGCGCGCACCACTGTACCTGGCTAGACTTGGACTTTTGGGCAATGCTGGAACTGTTAAGCCATTTGGGACTCTTGGAAATGATGCATTTTACAGGGTGAGGAAGACATGAGTTTTGGGAGAGCAGGGGCAGAATGTCATGGTTTGGATCTAGGCGTCCCCTTAAAAGCTCCAGTATTAATGAAGGAATATTCAGATTTGAGAAGATTAGATTACAAGAGCTGTAACCTAGTTGTTATACTGTGATCAGGCTACCTGGGTGGAAACCCTAGGTAGGTAGAACTTTGCTGGGTGGGGTGGGTCACTGTAGACATGCCCTGCAAGGTACATCTTCCCTGTGGCCTCTTCTCCTTCACTCTCGACTTCCTGGATACACAAGCAGAGCTTCACACCTCTGCCATGCCCTTCTGTTATGATGTTCTGCCTCACCTTGGGCCCAGAGCAATGGAGTCAGCTGACCTTGGGCTGAAACTCTGAAACCATAATCCAAAATAAACGTTTCCTCTTCTAAGTTGTTCTCATCAGGTTTTTTGATCACACTGATGAACAACTGACTAACACAGTGGTAGAACTCAATCCTGGATCAGTTTGAGTTCATGTGACTATGGATCAGTTTTCATATTCTTTTTTTTTAAAGAAGAAGAGCTTCCCTATAAAAGAGACCATCATGCTGTGATACCGTTCATGCTTTCATGCACTCACTAATTCCACAGGGAAATGTCAAGTACCTGCTATGTTCCAGGCACAGTGTCAGACACTTGTCATACAGCAGGAAGTAAAAAATGAGCCAAACCTTCTGCCTTAGGGCTTGTACCCTAATAGGAAAACGAGACCAAACAATACATAAGGAAGTGCTAAAATAATAAATCTCGTGGGATTAAGAGATTCTGGAAGAAGGAATCGCAACTTCAAAAAATGGTCAGGATAGGCCTCACGGAGAGGTGAAAGAGGAAGGAAGGGAGTGAGACAAGGAGCCATGTGGTTTTCTGGAAAAAGATGATTCCAGGCAGAGGGAACAGCCATGGCAAAGTCTCTGGGAGAAAGAACAGCAAGAAGGTCAGTGTGAGAAGGAGGTGAGAGGTGGAGGGGGACAGATGGTATCACCTTGTGAGCCAAAGGGTTTTACTTTGGGTTCTTACTTTGTGGATAATGGAAAGTCACTGGCGGGTGTCAAACAGAAGTAAGAGATTATCTGGCATAATATAAAAGAATCACTCTGACTGATGTGTTCAAAACAGACTAGAGGGAGTGTGGATAGGTCAGAGATGGAAGAAGAGAGTTCTGTTACTAAGAGATCATTGACATAACCCAGCAGTGAGATGCTGATGGGTAGAAAGAGGGATGTAGCGGAGATGGTCCCAAGTGCTCAGATTCAAGGTCTATTGGGACAGTACGGCCTGAAGAATTGAACAGGGAGTGTGAAACTGAAAATTCAACAATGGCTCCAGGAATTTGGCCTATCAAAAAGTATTGAGTTGTCATCAAATGAAAAGGAGATGACTGGGGAGGCAGATTTGTGGGAGGAGTTCAGTGTAGATGGAGTTTTCCTGATCTATAAGCATGTCTTCTAGATCATGCTGTTATTCACAAATATCTGCTATACTTTCTCAGTTCATAGGATTGACTGTGGGACTTTATTTGGCCAATGGAATGTGAGTAGAAGTTTTTAGAACCAATTTATGGTTTGCTGTGTTTTCTATTTTCCTCTGCACTGTGATCAGCAGTGCTCCAAATGGGAGCTGCTCCATCAGCCTGAGCCCCAGAGGGATGATGACATGGTGCAGAGCACGGGGGACGTGGATCACGAGGGAGAAAGAAACCTTTTGGTGACACACTGCTGAGATTGGAGGTCATTGTCAGCAAAGCATAACCTAGTCTTGCCTGCCTGATGCAGCCTCCTAGTGGGAATGTCAAGTAGGCAGCTGAGCGTACTTGTCTTGAGTTTAAGAGATCCAAGCAGGAGCTATAAATTGTGGAGTCATTGACATATAAATAGTAGTTGAAGTCTTAGGCTGAATGAAACAAACGAAGGAAGGTAGAAAAGTGGATCATGGTCTGCACTCTGGAGCTCGTAACATTCAGAGGAGGTGAGAGGAAGAAGGAGCAAAGGGATCTGAGAAAGGAGTGGACAGTGTGACAGAGGTCCATGTGAAGACCTGGGAGCCAAGGGAAGAATATGCACCCAAGAGACTGACCAGTGCTGCTGACAGCTCAACCAAGGCCAGGACTCAGAAATGACCACTGGATTTGGCAACATGGAAGGCACTGATAATTCTGCCAGTGGCTATGTTGATGGACTGGTAAGGGGCAAAAGTCTGTTGGATTTGGTGTAAGAGAAAAATGAGGAAATGGTGGGTTAGAGACACACGTACCATTCTCCACAAGTTAGAATCAAAGCCTCAGAAGCAGAGCTGCTGTTGGGAGTGAATGTGGATTAATGCTGGAGCAAAAGTGGAATGAGTCGGCTTTGAAATGCCCAGAGATTTTAGACAGTGAGAGGGTGGAAGAGCCAGGCGTGGCGTCCCCTGCAATCCCAGTGACTTGGGAGACTGAGACAAGAGGATTGGAAGTTCAAGGAAAGCCTGGGCACCTTGGTGAGGCCCTGCCTCAAAATAAAGAATAAAAAGAGCCACTGATATAGCTCGGTAGTACAGTGTTCTGTGTTCAACCCCCAGTGCCTCCTCCCCCTCCAAAGAGTGAAAGAAACAGAGCACCCCACAAAATCTAAACAGGCAAGAGGTCTGGAATCCGCACAGCAAGCTGGCTCCGGAGAAGTTCTCCACAGCCGGCATATTCTCATGGTGCCCTAACGGGGGTCATTATGAGAGGGTCTGATTGTCTGAGCTTGTTATCCTGAGAGTCAAAGCCCCCTACGTTTTCCTATCTCTGGGATCACCCAGGTAATGTAAGTGTGTTGGCTCAGTGGGAAACAGCTTTGAGAGACAGTTGGCACCCCAGAAGACAGGCTGACGTGAGCCCCCGAGAATTCTATGTGGTAGGAAACCAGACGGAGAGAGGGAAGCAGAAGGCAGTTCCCTTTAAAATGAGTGGTTCAGGAGTCCAGCCTCAGAGCCCAGGGGAGTGAAGAGTCCTGTGCAGTTTTGTGTGGTCACCAAGTCTGGGAGCCCATGAATCATGGACAGTGAACCACACTGTCCTCCATGGACAGTGAACCACATTGACAGGACCCTCCAACCCCAGCACAATCCCTTTGTGTCTCCATTGATGCTATCTACTCATGGGGACAACCTGAGATAGGCCACAGAGCCCGTGTTAGCTCCACCCTCAGAATGCACAGCCTTAAAGACTCCAAAGAGAATTTCCAAAGAGAAAGGAGAGCTCTGCATTCCACGCTGTTTTGCTGACAGGCTGTGGCACAGGTATTAGGCCCCCCCACTTGAAGTGCTCAGGCGTAAAACCTCCAGAGAATCATTGCCAGGTGAGTTCACAGTCTCTGCTAGCTGTTGGACATGCTGCAGCAGCACTGGTAATTTCCCTCCTCTTGGAGTTCACAGCCCAAAACAATTCCAGGGAGAATCTTTATCTGGGAAGTTCCACTTTCTGAGTCAACTTGTTCTAGTGAGCAAAGCAGCTGAGAGGAATTCCAGCTAGCCACAGCTCCAGATCACCCCTGCTAGTTATTATGGGGGCACCACCAAGGATATGAGAGGAGGTGAATAGCACGTTGCTTTGCTCACAGGACACAGAGCCTAAGAAGACTTAGAGAGAAGGACTCGTCAGCACAGGATGTCAGTGTCTACCCTCAGCCCTTCATCTGAGTACTCCTGGAGAGAGCAAATTTTTATTTTCTATTAACACATTCTTGTTTGTTTTGTTTTGTTCTCTCTCTTCTTCCTCCTTTTAACTTTTAATTTTTTTTCTTTTTCCCCCTTACCCCCCTTTTTACTTTTTCCTCGATTTCCCTTTTTCTCTTTCCTTCTAAATTTTTCATTTTACCCCATTTGAAAGAATTTCATTTGTTATGTTTTTAACTTTTTATTTTCTTCTATATTTCCCCCCTTTCATGCACCAGTTGTTGTTTTTATTTGTTTTATTCCTTTTCTTTTTCTTCACAATGCTAATGATCAAGCTTAGGACTTGGCCTACACTGGGGTAGGTGCTCAATGGCTGAGCTACATTCTCAGAGAGAAACTGTACTCTGCCCCAGCCATGACCTAGTCCCACTTAATCCTTGGCAGTTTGGTTTAACAAAAAGAGGGAACAAAAAACTCTAGCCAATTCTCTGTCCCCAAGCAGCAGTGCTGGGGAGACATGATGTCCCACTCTCAGACACTCACAACTACAGCAATATCAGTGAGAAATAACAACTGTTGTGGATAGCAACAGTTGAAGTTCCTTAGCATCAGATGCTATGATAACCTATCAAGATAGCACACTGGCCAGGCGTGGGGGCACACACCTGTAATCTTAGCAGTTTAGGAGGCTGAAGCAGGAGGATTGCAAGTTCAATGCATCCTTAGCAAAACAAGGCATTAAGCAACTCAGTGAGACAGTGTCTCTAAATAAAATATAAATTAGTGCTCAGGATGTGGCTCAGTGGTTGAGTGCCCTTGAGTTCAATCCTGGAACTCCCCCACTTCAAAAAAAAAAAAAAGATTGCACACTGATGACAAGACCAAGGGTGAATGCCACAGAGAAGAAGTGGCCCCTGCATCTCCCTTTGAAACATCAGGATCTGCAACAGTCTCTAAACAGAGTATAAAAGCTTCAGGCCCTTCATAATCCAAACAGTTACTACGAGAATTGCTTCCAAGCAATGGAACCAATATCAACAGTACCAGAAGCCCCATCACCTGGTAGGGGCTTCCACTCCCATTGTAGGAGCACCCACAGAAGATGCACCCACTTACTTCTACACTATAGTTACCTGAATAAAAATGGAACCCCATTCTTCAAATATTTACAGATAAAGTGGGTCCTTTAGCCTCCAATACGGTTTACATTGTGTCAGAACCTACTAAATCCCAGCCAAAGAAGCCATGAAGAAACTACACTACAGTGTCCAATTGGAACCAATTCAATACTACATAACAAATTTATGCCTCAAAGCACATCAGGGGTGAGTTGTACACTAGTAGTGTCTTCATATAAAAGTGGAAGAGATATTCATCCTCCAGGTGCACAAATCTCAACATAGAAACATAAGAAATATTTTAAAAAGCAATTATGACAAACTCTAAAGTTTGTAACTCCACAGCAAGAGATTCCAAAGATATCTAAGTGGATGAAATTCTGGACAGAATATTTAAAATAATGAATTTTTACAAGCTTAGTGAATTCCAAGAGAATGCAAATAAAGAGTTGAATTAATTTTTACGAAAGATAATGCAAGTTATTTGTGGGCTCCTCAGTAAAGAGAGAGAGATTTTGAAAAAGAACCAAACAGAAATCTTGGACATAAAAAAATCAAGTAAGATTTTAAAACTCATTTAAAAGCTTTAACAACAGACTCTATCAAGCAAGAGAAAGGATATTAGACAACTGTGCCAAAATATCCACTCAGATGGCAATAAAGGAAAAAAAGAATAAATAAACAGAACTTACAAGATCTCTGGAATGTCGTTAAAAGATCAAACATCTGCACAATAGTCATTCCAGAGAGAGAAGAGACATATGCTCTAAGCATAGGTAAATGATAGCAGAAAATTTCCCAAATCTCAGGAAAGACATGGATATCCAGGTACAGGAGGCATTTACAACTCTTCAAATAGACAATACCAGAAAAGAACCTCTCCATGATAAAATATAGTTAAATTACCAAAAGTACCAAACAATAAAAAAAATAGTAAAAGCTAAAAGAAGAAGCTCCAGGTTACCCCAAACCCATTGGAATAGCAAAAGATTTCTCAGAAGAAACTCTGAAAGGCAGGAGCGTGAGCAATAATGTATTTTAAGTCTTGAAAAACCAACTCTCAACCAAGATAACTATTCCCTGAAAAAAATCTCCCAACCAATATTACTCTAAGAATTGAAATGGAAATAAAGACCTCAAAAGGTAAGCGTAAACTAAGGGAATTCATGACCACAACATGATCATTACAGAAGACATCTAGGGGAATCCTATATATAGCCAGAAGAGAAAAATAGATAAAGATAATCTTCAGAACATGGGGGGAGGGAATAAGTTTCACTATAGAAGTAGACATGAAAATGAGAAGTAGGAAGTAAGCAAACATTATCAGTATAGTAAGCTATTACAGAATATTCAAAACCACCAGAAAAAAAAAAACTACAAAATGAAGGAACACACCTTTAAGTAATAATCCTGACTATAAATGGTCTTAATTTACCAGTTAAAAGTTTGGATGATTGAATTAAAAAACAAGACTAAATAGTATGCTGCCTACAAGAAATTCACCTCACCTGCAAAAATATACGCATACTGAAAGGATGGAGAATGATATTTCAAGGGAATGGAACCTACAAGAAAAAGAGTGTCTATATCTGAAAAAAAATGGATTTTAAGCCCAAATCAAGGGAACAATTTATTGAGAATATATAATATGTGTGTGTGTGTGTGTGTATGTGAGTTTCTCCCAAATCTTGGAAACTTAGTTTTAAACTTTTTAAAATTTTAAAAATGTACACTAGACCTCAAAGGATAGATAGGTCCCAATACAAAAATAGTGGATGACTTCAATATCCCACTCTCACCAATATGTAGATCATCCAAGCAGAAGTCAACAAAAAACCATCCGAGTTCAATTATACTACAAGCAAATGAATTTAACAAGATTTTATAGAATATTCCAACAGCTTCAAAATATGAACTCCTTTTATAAGCATATGGAACTTTGTCCAAAAAAGGTCATATATTAGGCCATAAAGCAAGTCTTAACAAATTCAGAAAAATTGGAATATTTTCTCTCATTTTATCAGATTACAATGGAATGAAACTAGAAATCAATAGCAAAGGGAACTGTGGAAATTACACAAACACATGGAGACTGAAAAACACACTTTTAAATGAACAGTGTGGGTCATTGAAGAAATAGTAGGGGAGTGATTAAAAAATTTCTAGAATCAAATGAAAATGGAAATACAACATACCAGAACTTGTGAGACACAGCAAAATCAGCACTTAGAGCAAATTTTATAGCAATGAATGTTTACACCAAAAAAAAACTGAGATCTCAAATAAATAGTCTAATTATGCATCTCAAGATCTTAGAAAAGCAAGAACAAACCAAACTCAAAATCAGTAGAAGAAAATAAATAGCAAAAAAGCAGAGCGGACATAAATGAAATAGAAACTAAAATAACAATACTCATCAATGACCCTTTGAAAAAATAAAATTGACAGTATTTTAGCTAAACTAACCCAAAGGAAAAGAGAAAAGAATGAAATAAATAAGACTAGAACTGAAAAAGAAAACATTACCACAGGTACCACTGAAATTCAAAGAATCATTAGGAAATATTTTGAAAAGCTCAGTGGTAGAGTGTTTTCCTAGCATGTGCAAGGCTCTGTGTCCAATCTCCAATACAGAAAAAAGTGAAAATGATTTGAAAATCTGAAAGGAATGGATAAATTTCTGGACATATATGACCTACATAACTTGAACCAAGAAGACATTAAAAAATACCAATAACAAAGAGATTGAAGCAGTAATAAGGTATCTCCCAACAAATACAAGCCCAGGACCAGATGGATTCACTACTAACTTTTAAAGATGAACTAATCTCAGTGCTCCTCAAACTGTTTCATAAACTAGAAAGGGAAAGATTACCTCGAACTTCATTGTAGAAAACTGGCCCTGCTACTGAAAATATGACAAGGATGCAATAAAAAACTACAGGCCAATATCTCTGATAAACATAGACACAAAAACCTCAATAAAATGCTTTCAAATTGCATTCAATAGCACATAAAACAGATCATATACCATAATCAAGTTGGTTTCATTCCAAGGCTGCGAGTTTGGTTCAACATGTAAATCAATAAATGTAATACAGCCCATAAATAGAATCAAGGATAAAAATCGTACAATCATCTTAATAAATGCAGGAGAGTCTTTGATAAAATTCAACATCTCTTCATGGTAAAAGCCCCGAATAAATCTCAACATAATAAAGACTACACATGACAAACCCATAGCCAACATGACAGTGAATCAGGAAAATGGAAAGCCTTTTTCTCTAAGGTTAGTAATAAGACAAGAATGTCCACTCTTAAAAAACTCTCAACATGTTACTTGAAATTTTAGCAAGAGCAAAGAGGAAAGAGAAAGGAATAAAAGGGATGCAAATATGGAATGAGGAAATCAAATGATCCCTGTTTGCTGATCATATGATTCCCTACTTAGAAAATCCTATTGGTTCTATTAAAGGACTCCTAGAACTGATAAGTTCAGTAAGGAAACAGGATACAAAACCAACATGCAAAATCCAAGCTTTTCTACACACTAGTAATGGACT